CCCAGACCTTTGAGGGAGTGGAGTTGGCCCAAAGTCCCTCCCTCCCCGATCTGTGGTTTCTGCTCCCCCCAAAGGACCCCGTCGGTCACCTTGTGGCTTCCACAGTTGTTTCCATGGAAGCTGCCCAGAAGCCTGTGCACCTCTGGCTTTGCCCAGAGAGTGCACAGCCTGGCCCTGGTTCCCCAACCCCATCTCCCTTTCTCCCATCCAGGCCTTGTCACAGCCTGGCTCCCCGGCCCCTGGTCCACCTGCCCAGATGGACCTGGAGCACCCATCACAGACCCCATTCGGGACCCCAGCTTCTCTGCTGAAGAAGGAGCCACCTGGCTACAAGGAGGCTGTGACCCAGCAGCCCAAACAGGTGAAGAAGGTTCTGGGACTGGCCAGGTGGAGGTGCCCCCAGGCCCACCTGGAGGGACAGGCTGGTGGGAGACAGCCAAGGGGCTTGAGTAGGGGTCTGGTTGCTCACTGGGGACCCCATGTTTAGAGTTTCATCTTTTTTTTTTTAACTTTTGTCCTACAGGAAAATGGTTCTTCGAGCCAGCAGATGGATGACCTGTTTGACATTCTGATTCAGAGTGGAGGTAAAGCCCAGCCCCGCAGCACCTCCCCGGCCCCTTCTCTGTCCTTGGGTTGTCTGGAGCCCGTGGTTGAGCACTGAACAGCACAGGAGGCCTTGTCAACGGGCTGCTGTGACTGGGTAGGGCGACCTGGGAGGGCACGGCCGTAGCACTCAGTTATTTCACTGCCCCCAAGAGGGTGTCTGCCTGTGCAGAGCACAAGTCTAGTGTGGCAGGGGTAGTAGATAGGATGAGTAAGTCCCACACAGGAGATGTACAGAAGGGCTTGGCCCAGGGTGCTCAGGAGCTCAGGAGGCTGGTGCCCAGCATGTTGGGGAAGGGAGGGAGGCCACAGCCAGGTCTGGAGGGCCTGGAGAGATCCTTGCTGTGATACAGTGGCTGCACGCGGTGGAAGTAGGATGCCTGCTGGAGGCCAGGCCACAGGGGTCTGGGTGAGGCAAGGCCCAGCTTGGCCTTTTGCTCGGGTAGGCGGGGAGGAAAGAACAGCCACAGATGGCTCCAGGGCTGTGGGCTGAGGCACCAGGATGAAGGTAACAGGGTGGAGGCAGCCTCAGCTGGAGGTGCTGTGTTGGGAGAGACTGCATGGTGGGGAGAGGTGCTGGCTGGGGGTAGGTGTTTGGGAGTGGGTGGTGAAGTCTTCCAGAGTGAAGCCGGTAGAGCAGGGGACCAGTGACAGAGCCCAATCTTTGTGGGGGACAGGGACAAGTTGAAGAGGCCAAGGATTGGGCAGAGGTGACCTCCTGGAAGCCAGAGATGGGATCACATGGAGCCTCGGCCCATACCCACTCTTCTCTGCCTGGGCAGCCCCAGGCCGGTGGCTGTGCAGAGCTTTTCTTGCAGAGGACCTGTCCCACAGAGAGACTCGAAGCAGGGAGGGGTGAGGACTGTGGAGTAGTGGAGCAGCCTGGGGGCTTCCCTGCGCAGCGGGCAAGGCCAGTATGTGATGTGGACCTGGCAGGGTCCATGCAGCAAGCATGCAGTTTGAGCTGCTGTCAGGAGGAGGCCTGAGTGCCAGGGGGCAAGTAAAGGAAGCGATCGCCAGGCCACGGAGCCATGCTTCAGCACTGGGCTTTTTAGGTTTCAAATGAGGCTTCCATAGCAGCCAGTGCTAAGGTCAGCACTTTTCAAGCCTTAGGGAGCATTTCGGCTGTCATGGTGCCCAGGTGTTTAAGGCATGGGTGACCCTGAGGCTGCAGGGTGGGACATTCTGAGGACGGCTGGATTGGGTGCTCAGGTGAGGCCTGCACAAGCCTTGGGAGCAAGCGACCATCCTTGAACTGTTGCATTTAAGGGATGGCAGAGACTAGATGAGGAGGGTGATGCCTCTCCCCAAAGGGCCAGGAAGGTGCAAGGACTCCAGGAGAAGGCGGTAGCAGGACAGGTGCTGAGGCTCCTCCTGGTGAAGTAGCCACAGGCTGGGACGGGAGTAGGGGCAGGAGCAAGAGCAAGCCTGTTCTGTGTGGTTCTTCTGTTGTGGTACAGGGTGTGGAGCAAAATTGCCATCCTGGCCACTTCCAGATGCACTATTGGGTGGCATTAGATACATTCATAACGTGCAACCATCACCACTGCACATTTCTCATCTCAGACTGAAGCCACACCTATTAAAAATTTGCTGGGCCCGTTCCCTAGCCCCTACACTCCAATTCTCCAGTGTCTGAGTGACTAAGTGCCCTGTGTAAGGAGAAGCAGTGTCTCTTCGTACCTGGTGTATTTCACTGAGGGTGATGTCCCCCCCGCTTCCGCCCCCAGTGGGCACTTGGGTTGCTGTACCTTCTAGCTGTCGAGCATAGTGCCACTGTCAGTGCATGAATATCTTGTGGAGATGCTTTCACTTCTTTCGGGAACTTAGCCAGAAACGAGCTGTATGTACCCCCACCAGGGATAGAACTCAGGACCTTGCACTTGCAAGACAGGCGCATGCCACTGAACTAAATCCCTGGCCCTATTTTGTTTTGTTTTTGAGGAACCTACCATCTGTGTTCCTAAGTGGCCAGACCATTTCACAGTTAATGACAGTATTGCAGGGTTCCAGTTTCACATCCTCGCCAACATTTATTTTCTGGTGCTGGGGACTGAACTCAGGACCTCGTGAATGTTCTGTCTCCCAGTGACCAACACCAGTGACCCTGTCCCTTGCCAATACTTTTTTGAGACAGGTTCTTGGTCTGACATCCAGGCTGGCTCAGACTTGCTGTCCCAGTGCCTTGTGTGCCCCCAGGTTCGGCTGCCTGCACTTACTTTGTTGTTTTGATGGTTGCTGGGGTGGGTGTGAGGCAGCATCATCTTGGTTTTTGATTTGCATTCCTTTGACTACAGATGTTGAACGTCTTTTCATGTGCTGTTGGCCATTTGTATCTCTTTTGGAGAAAATGTCAATTTTGCCCATTTTTGAATCAGGTTATTACTGTTTATGTATTTTCAATATATTAATTCCTTATTAAATATGATTTGCAAGGGCTGGGGGTTTAGCTCGGTGGTTCTGCCGCCTGCCTCACAAGCGCAAGGTCCCGAGTTTGATCCCCGGTACCAAAAAAAAAGATTTGCAAATATCTCCTTCCATTCTATAAGAAACCTTTTCACTCTTGGCAGTCTACTTTGCTTTTGGTATTACAGCTCAAAAATTACTAGGAATTTAACGTGATTTCCTTTTGTCAGTCTCATAGTTCTGGTGCTTACCTCTGTCTGATCTGTTGTATTTTTCTTTACGGTGTGAGGAAAGGGTCTGCTGTCATTCTTTGTGTTCAGGCCTGGTTTCTGACACTAATTCACTCTGTCACTTGGCAGAAATTTCAGTAGATTTCAAGGAGCCACCATCTCTACCAGGGAAGGAGAAGCCACCTTCTGCAGCAGCCTGTGGGTCCCCCCTGGCAGCACAGCCATTGCCTGCTGCTGAGCTCCCCCAGGCTGCACCACCTGCCCCAGGCTCGCCCGTGCTCCCTGGGCGTCTGGAGGACTTCCTGGAGAGCAGCACAGGGCTGCCCCTGCTGACTGGTGGGCATGAGGGGCCGGAGCCCCTGTCTCTCATCGATGACCTCCACAGCCAGATGCTGAGCAGCTCTGCCATCCTGGACCACCCCCCATCACCCATGGACACCTCGGAATTGCACTTTGCCCCTGAGCCTAACAGCGGTGTGGGCCTGGACCTGGCCGATGGCCACCTGGACAGCATGGATTGGCTGGAGCTCTCATCAGGTGGTCCCGTGCTCAGCCTGGCGCCCCTCAGCACTGCCGCGCCCAGCCTCTTCTCCACAGACTTCCTCGATGGCCACGATCTGCAGCTGCACTGGGACTCCTGCTTGTAGCTCTCTGCCCCAGAGACTGGGGTGGGGAAGGGGCTGAAAGGTGGGGAGCTACAGGCTGGAGCCAGTGAGCTTTGTGTGGCTGTGAGTCTTGACAATCACAGTCCCCACTTGGCCCTTCCCTGTGTGGGTGGTGCGGAGGGGCTGCTGCTGGCTCTGGCTCACCCAGGGCAGAGGAGAAGCTGCCTAGCAGCATCTCTGGGTCTCTGCTAGGGCTTTAGAGGCCTGGCCAGGGCCGTTTCAATTTGACCTCCTTTTCTGAGGTCAGAGGTGCACTGTCGGGCTGCAGCAGTGGGCAGTGGACTCCCCCTTTGTGAGGAAGAAAGGCTCCTGGGTGTCTCCTCCGTCAGCTGGGCCGAGGGCTCTGCAGCTTCCTGCCATGTTAGCGTCTTGGTGTAGTGTGTCCATTTAGAGGTTGGTGGCAAAACTTTTCTGTACAGGTGTATATACTTCTATATTATATATCAACGTACAATATTTACATATATTTTAGGGGCGCAGGAGATGGGTGCAGTTCCCTCACCCTGCTTTCACATATAGAAGGGCCTGGAGTGCTGGGGGCTGGATCCAAGGTCACCTTGAGCTGTGTGTCATGTGGCTTGGCCAACTGCCCAGGTCCCCCCTCACATGTGTTGACATGCAGGCACCCGTCACAGCCCGTGCCCACCTCCCTGCTGCCTGGCCCCTTAGTGCCACAAGGGCAGAGGGGCTCCCTGGCCCTCACCCCAGGAGCATCCCCCCCTGCCCATGTGCCATCCCCTTCCTCACTGCAGCCAACTCAGCCCTGGGACAGGAAGGGCCACTACCGCTATAGGCCCACCTCCTCCCCTGGGGCCACTGGCCTCACTTGCTAGACTATTTCATGGGGGGAAAGGGGTGGAGTCACCAAAACCAGTGCTGGGACAAAGGTGGGAACTGTGTGAATTTTTAAAATAAAAACAAAAACCAACTTAGTCCATGTCGTCTCTCCACGGAAGGGGTGGGGGGGTTGGTGATGCATCCTGGGCCCACACGGGGACCCTAATCCTATCTTCCCACAGGGCTGACTTAGGCTGCAGGAGCCAGGCTGGTGCAGAAAAGGCAGCCACTGCCCTGGCTGAACAGAGGTCAGAGGCACTTTCTCAAAGACAGTTTATTTACACCCCAAAGAGGCCCAGGGCCCTTTGTTGGCCCTTAACACCCCCCCTTCCTGAGCAAAGACTGTCCAAGGCGGCTTCCCACCCTCACCAGATTTTTGGTTCCTACAAACTGCAATGGGCAGCTGGCACTTGCTTAAGGACCCAGGGAGGACAGGGCCCTCACCCTGACTCCACTCTTGGGAGAGCGTGCTGCCCCGGGCACCCACCTTCTGCCCCAGCCAACAGTAGAAGCCTGGAGTGGGGAGCCCTGAACCAGCTCCCTCCGTGCGCCCCACATCTTGATCTGGGCGCCTCACTCTTCCTGCTGAGGGTGGAGGAGCCTGAGGGCTTCGTGAGGCGTGGGTACAGCAGGGCCGCAGGAGCATCACCCATCAATGTCCCAGCTGAAGAGGTGGTGCTTCACCAGCATGTCCTGAACACCCTCCTTCAGGGGCTGCTTCTCCTCCTGTGCACGGGACAGCTGCTCAGGAGGATGGGGCCAGGCAGTGCCTCCTTGGGCCACCCTGCCCTCTTGGGACAGCCACACACTCACCTCTCTCTTGGCAGGGAGCTCCCAGTCCTGGGAGAGGCTGAAGGCAAAGCAGCAGAGAACGCTGTGGGGAGGGAGGCGCTCGTCATGGACTGCTCACTTCCACCACTGCCCTGCCAGGGCCCTGCCTGGTCCTCACCGGAGCTCACACTTGATCTGGACCCAGCCAGGGCTTCGCAGGAAGGACCAGGGCTGGTACCACTTCTCCACGGTGGCCAGGCTGGAGCAGAGGACCTCCAGCCACAGGTGCAGTACCTGCTCACTGGGGACAAGGCTGGGAGGAGGGTTGCTCGGGGTCCGGCCCTCATGGCCCCCCATGCGCCCCACAGCAGCTCCTGGGCACCCTCAGTGGAGAAGGCCAGGACTCGAGACAGGCCCGGTCCCGCTCAGGGTACCTTCCCTACACTTACTTGAGCCCCACACAGATCAAGGAGCGGAGCTTGACATCCATTTGTGCGTGGACTGCATCGTGAGTCACGTTCACAGACTGCACAGCCTGGGGAGGGCACCGCTGTCACTTGGGTGCCCCACTGGCCAGAAGAGGTCTTGAGTGGCTGCCAGAGTGGCCCTGCTTACCCGATACAGCAGCTCCTCTGGGGTCAGGACTTTGCCATCTTCATCAAGCCTGAGGGGACCAGAGCTCAGCACTGCCCACATGCCAGGCCCTGGTCCCATCAGGATGCGTGGGTGGGTGGGCCAGGTTGTTACCTGTAGGTCTTACAGAGCACGAGGCGGGAATACACCGAGTCAAAGTCTCTCTCGACCTCTCGCCCCGCGGCCTGTGGCGGACAGGAGAGCCAGTGTGGGGGTGGGGTGGCCAGTCCAGGCCCTGGTCCTGCAGAGCACACGCACCACCTGCAAGCTCCTCCACCCCGCGAGGGTGGCCTGAGAGCACCTCGGTGTGTGCTGCTGCTCACCTCCTCAATAAACAGCCAGGGGTGGCAGGCACCTCCAAGCAGGGATGGCCTCTTCAGTCCATGTTCGAACAGGGCCTTGAGGGCCGGGCAGAGGGTCCCTCGCACAAGGTCTGTGACCCCCTCCGTCACAGAGTCATCCCCAGCAATGGAATACTGGTGGAGGACGGGGCCTGAGAAGTGCCAGTCCCCACCCGAAGCTGGGGAGGAGGATGGCCCAGGCTGGGAGCACCCAGGAACAGCCCCTCCCTGCCCACCTCTTACCTCTTTGCTCCGTTCATCCAAGACTTCCACGAACTTGGCTGGAAACCAGCCTGTGGAGGAACAGGCCATGAGGGGCACTAGTGGCCATCTGACCCTTGCCCCCAGGGACCATGCAGAACCTGGAGGCCACGCTCACCCAGGAGGAAAGCCCACTCCCCCTCTGCCAGGCCAGATGGAGGAAGGGCACGCTCACCTCGCAGGCCATTCAACTCCCCCACCCAGCAGTGCTCGTCTTTCTGAGACACGATCTGCATGGGAGGAGTAGCAGGACAGGGCTCAGGCGCCTGAGCATGTGAGGCCCAAAGCACCCAGCCAGCTGAGACCCTGCATTTCAGAAGCAGAGCCCTTGGCAGGCAAGGGGCAGGAGCTGCGGCAGGGTGTGTACACGCCTGCATGTGTGCGGAGCCCTCCACGCACCGTGATGATGTCGTTCTTGCGGAAGCCCAGTTCATCATCATCATGTCGCTCGAAGTCCAGAAGGGCCTTGGCCCGGCGTCGGTGGCTGCGTGAACAGGCCACATAGTTCTCATGGTCCCGTTGGTGGCTCTCCATGCTGTAGTCTGGAGTCAGCTCCTGCGAGGACAGGGTGATGTAGACAAGCCAGGTGTGGCTGCTTTGGGAGGAGGGTCCCAATTTTGAACCCCACCTGGGCAACCTAGCAAGACCCTGTCTCAAAATAAAAACATCGGTATAGGGCCGGGGATTTAGCTCAGTGGTTCCATCGCCTGCCTCAAAAGCGCAAGGTCCCAAGTTTGATCACCAGTACCAAAAACAAAACAAAAAAACCCCAGCGGTATGAACAGAAAGGACAACTGTGAGGGAGAAGCCTCAGCCCCAGGAATGTACTGGGGAAGAACAGCCCCCAGGTCAGGCCTAGGGAGCCCCCCACTCACCACGCTACAGTTTTTGGGGTCTGTGCACTGGAAATGATGTGCCACACGCAGGATGGCTTCTCGGAGGTCAGCCACCAGTTCTGTCTGCTTGATGTTCTTGGCCTTGAGGGCCTCCAGGTCATCCTCCCCTAGGGGCACAAAGAGTTGCCTAGGGAGCAGGTGCAAAGCCACACCAGCTCTGAGGGCAGCTGTTCCAGGACTCACCAAAGAGCAGGGAGGAGATGGTGGACTTTCTCCGCTGTGTCCTACGCCGAACCACCTGCAGCCGGGACAGCGGCTCAGTGGGGAATGTGCCGAAATCTCTTCAGGGTCTGTCAGCTCAGGGTTCAGCCCATCCTCCGCCCACCGAGCACCAGATGCACCCCACCGAGGGGCTGCTCACCCTACTGCCACCAACAAGCTGTGCTGGGCCCTGGGAGTGTTGGGGAGGTGGAAGTGGCAGAATAGGGAAGGGCCCAGGGTCCCCACAGCCCTCGCCTCGGGTGTCTATGGGGGCCTGATGCTGGGGGCTGAGACAGGACTTCCTTGCTCAGCGCACCTGGGAAAGGTTGGTGGCAGCACTGGTCCCCAGAAGCTGGCCCTGATCTGCAATGAGGTAAGCCAGGTGCTTGCGGCGCTGGGTCTCCACAGCCACATCCGTGAGGGAGCCAGCCAGATGCATGGCCTCCCCCAGCAGCAGCTCTGCATCCTCCATCTGTGACGGGATATCTGACAGCGTGTTGAAGATGGATGCCGAGTTCTCCGACTGGATCAACTCCTCTTCCTGGCAGTGAGAGGGTGGGGGGCTCGCAACCACCATCATCCTTGGAGACCAGTGCCCTCTAGCGTGGCCACTGGGGAGATGCCCAGCCCCCATAAGAGGTCCACTCATCAGGGACCCTGGAAGCACCTTGAGACGTAGCATGCCTAGTGTGGTCTGGAACAGCACCAGGGAGCCCTCATAGAAGAACAGGTCCCAGATGCGCAGCAGCAGCTTGATATGCACGACGCTGGCGAAGGCCGTAAGGAACCAGTGCAGTGTGATCAGGGACAGCTCTGTGGACAGGCATGGGAGTCAGTGGGACTGGGACTGGGACAGCTGGCCAGAGGCAGCGTGGGCAGGAAGGGAGAATACCTCCCCAAGAGCAGCAAAACCGGAGGGTGGGAAGGGGTAGAAAGAGGTCAGGGAATCTAGGGAACAGGACTGACACAGACTGTGTATACCTGTGTCCACGGCCTGGCCACCACCCCTCTACAGAATGTGTTCTGAGGACTCAGAGCTGCAAAATTAGAAGCTGTATCCCAGGACCCCAGGCCCAGAGGAGGCTGCCCCTGGGCCTCACCAATGTCGTGCTCCTGCAGCAGCTTGTCCAAGCGAGGCAAGTACTGCACAATGAGGTGGCGCAGGACCCGCTGGTCAGTCTGGACACCCAGCAGTGTGGTGCTGAAGTAGGAGGCAGGAAGCAAGTCTTCAATGATGGCGCACATCATCCAGAAGGCGTCTTCCTCCTCCAGGAACAGCAGGAGGCAGGCAGCTACCTGGCCAGGCAGGAGGACAAGGGGCTTCTACCCAAGTCTTGGTGAGTAGAGCAGATGCCCCTGTAGGGTGACCAATCAGGAAGAGCCTCCTGGGGACACCAAAAGGCTCTTGAGTTCCACTTGACAGCAGAAGCAGCTGCGCAGCCCTCTTGGGTTCTCAAGGTCAGGCCCACATCCCATCCTACGCCAGAGAGAAAGGAATCACACCCCACCATGGGCCTGGAGAAGACCCTGGGTATGTCCCCAGCCCTCCCAGGGCGGCTCTCACCATGCCCGTGCCCTGGCAGTAGCCAATCTCGGGGTAGAGCCAGGCTAGTGCCCGGAGGACTCTGCGTAGTCGGGGCACCCCGATGCTGTTCACATTGGCGAAGCAGGCGTTGCTGGGCATGGTGCGGAGCAGGTCCTTCTCGATCTGTTGGGGGCCATACCACCCCACAAGAAGGCCTTGTGAGACTGATGCCCAGGGAGGGAGGCAAACCCCAGAATGGGGATTCCTGGCACTGCACGTGAAGGTCCCCCCCCATCTCAGTATTCCATCAGTCATTGGGAACCTCATGCTTGGCCTACTGAAAGACAGGTCTGGCCCGGGGGCTGGATCTGTATTTAGATCCCTGTTGTTCCCAATGAGGACCTATTTGCTCTGTGTCTCTCCACACACTGGGCCCTTTAGCCAGTTATCCCGGCAGCCAATGAAGGACCCAGGGTAGCAAGTTTCCTCCACAGACATGCATGGGTGTGAGGGCTGCCAGGCCTGCCAAGGAGACCAACCAGGGGACACCTTCCTCCTGCAGGCCACACATGGTCTCCCCCGACCAGCCCCTCAGCTGCCCTGTGTCACCTGCTTGGCAGCAATGGTCTCGTCATTGGAGCTGTTCTTCACGATCTCGCGGTAGGACAGCTCCGAGTTCCTCTTCTTCTGCAGGGCCCCGGAGAGCCGCATCCACAGCTGAGGGAAGGAGCCACACATGCACCGTCTTTCTCGTGACACTGGACCCAGGCCAGAGCACTCTGGCTTGCTGTGGGTCCCCGTGGTGTCTCACCTGTGGCCTCATGCTGTGTGGGATGCCAGCCAGCACCAGGGAGCGCAGCTTCTCAGAGCGAGGCAGGGAGACAGCAATTTTGTCCCAGGTGAGGTCCCCCACATCATGGTTGTGGGTGAACTCGAGGTGGGCCTGCCACCGCAGCCTCTGTGGGGGGTCCTCCACCAGGGCTGCCTCCATCAGTGGACTGGACCCTGGCTCGGCACCTGCCGCCACAGGAGAACAGTGGGAGGACAGCAGGTTTGGCATCCTGTGCCCTTCCCCCACAGCCCACAGCTGCCAGCAGCTCCCAGTGGGGCCCGGAGCTGTCTCCAGGCCAGGTGCTGCCCCCAAAACCAAACCATAGGGCCGCTTCCTGGTGCTCCACTTGCACAGCTCTTCCTCAAAGACAACCCAGTTCCTGAAACAACACCTTCACTCTCCAGAGGCTCCGGCTCAACCCCAGAGCCACTGGCTGCTCCTCCCCAAGATCTCACACTCAATCCATAGCAAACAATGGGCCTACTGGCCCAGGCCATGCCACAGCCCCTCACCTGAGTCACGGCATGGCCTTTATGGCAGTTGGTGCAGCCCTTCAGCAACACACTGGACCAAGTCACCACTCAGAACCCCACTGGGCTCTCCTCTCAGACTCAAAGCCAAAGGCCTTCTAGGCTTTGTCATGCGCTGCTCCCAGCCCTGCCCCATCCTCACCCCCTGCCACTGTTTTCTCGCTCCTTCCATTCCATGACCTGGGCCTTCCTGCTCAATAAATCCACCCTGCCTTGGGGCCTTTGCACACATTACTACCCTTTCCCAGCTACATGCACCCCTGGCTGCCTCTGGTTTCTAGTCCAGGACTCCACACAGAAAGGCACAGATCTTAAGTGCACTTTCTGACCAGTATCAATGAACAAACTAGATGTAACATTGTTTCAGTGTGGTGCTGAGCAGTGAGATAACAATTCCCATCACACTAGAAAGTTTTCTATGTCCCTTTCAACCTCTGCTTTTAACTTACACTTGCCAGCAGGTCAGAAGAACAAGGCAAATTATGTTAGAAGTGGAAATATGAATGACCTGAAGATGACAACTGCTATAGCCACAGCTCTGGCCCGATGACAGTACACCCTATCTGGGCAGCTAGACGGCCCCCACAGTCCCCCAGCGCACCCTGTCAGAGCCCACTTGCACAAAGATGGCTGGAGGAGACGCTAGGCTAGAGACCAGATGAGCCAGGGAGTGTGTGCAGCTCAGGAACCCTGACACAGGCCATGCTCAAGTAATTAATATGCACACAGCGCCCTCTTAATTATGGAAAGTACCACACACACAGGGCCAGGAAAGGAACGCACTATCATGTCAGCAGTTATCTTCAGGCACTAGGACTAGAGGTTAATTTTGTTTTAATCTTTTTTTGTTGTTGTTGGGTTTTTTTTGTTTTTTTGGTACCGGGGATTGAACTCAGGTCCTTGCGCTTGCGCAGCAGGCGGTGAAACCACTGAGCTAAATCCCCGGCCTGATTTTGTTTTAATCTTTATCCTGCTAAAATTCTGTATTTTTCAATTTCTCTACAATGAATATTATTGCTTTTATTATCAGATGAAGAGTAATAAAATTTACTCACAGTTAGGCATGGTGCCGCATACCTGTAAAGCCAGCACTCTTGAGAGGCTGAGGCAGGAGGATCACAAGTTTGAGGCCAGCCTGGGCAACTTAGCAAGAATATCTCAAATTTTTTTTAAAAAGCTAGCCAGGGTGAGGATGGGGATGTGGCTCAGTGGGAAGGCCTTGGGTTCAATCCCTCATCCCATCCAAAAAACCCAGAGGTTTCCATATATGGTGCTTATAACAGCATCACACGAAGATATGCTTTTGTCCATACATCTGCAGCAGTGAGACCCAGAGCTCAAGAGGTTGAGTGTAGTGGAATTCGAGTCACAGAAGTGTGAGTTCTCAAGGACATCAGCAAGACAGCACAGGGCTCAATCTTACCTTCGTTGTCCATGCGAAAACCGAACTCATCATAGCAGAACTCTGACTGCTCTGCTGAGTCTTCCTTCTAGAAACAGAATTAGGAAGAAAGGCATCTGTGTCCCAACCTGAGACTACAGTTTCTAAAAGATGCCACTCCCATGGCTGACTGCTAAAATTCCACCTGACCAAAGGATAACCTTTCATAAAGCCTGCTCTTTGTCCACGTACAGAGTGACCACCTGGTCTGAACTCTATCATTTTTCTTGTTCTCAGAATTCAAAGGTTGCTAATACCAAGCTTAAAAACATGTTTTATGCATTTGTGTCCCTATAATACTCTTCCTCCTACCTCATCACTGATTCAAACAGGCTCATGAAACTAAGATCCCATCTCTGCTGGTGAACACATTGGAGTTGGCCACCCACCACCTGACACCTGCAGAGGGCCCCTTCACCCCACAGCATAGCTGTGCCCGGCTGCGCCATGTTGTACCTGGGTGGACCTGGCCAGGATCTCCTGAGGCCATATGCTTGGAGTCAGTGCAGAGAAGGGACCACTGGAAGAAGGTATGTGGGCTCCTACAACCACAGAGGACCAGGGAAAGAACAATCAAGAAGACGCAGAGGCAAAAATCCAAGTCAGATATCCCCTCCCTTGCACAGTGGCTGTTGAGTGCAGGAGGGTGGGAAGAATGGGATGGAAGAAAACTCCTGGAAAGGAGCACACTTCAGGAGAAGCGGGGGAGAGCAGCTGCATGTTACAAAACATACTAAGATTCCATCTCCTTGCCTCCTCCTCTACCTCAGTAAGAGGCGATTTGGGCAATGTGAAGACCTGAGGAGAGTGTCTCAGTACCCATCCCAGACCTGCAGCCAGCCTCCCTTCCCCTTTGTGTTGCTCTTGTCTGGATGGCTGTGTTTGGAAACAGAAGCCAGTTCCCCACCTATGGCTCCTCATGAGAGCCCAGCTGTGCTTCACCTGACATGGTGCTGAGCCGCTGGCAGCTTCCACAGATCCAGGCTTAGATTTTTACTATCCTGACCTCTGACAGCTAGAAGGCGCTTCAGGCTTCATCTGCTCCAGAACTATCTGCCTGTCAGGAGAGCAAAGGACAGCATCACTACACAGCCCTGTCCTGGAAGGCAAGGCCTTCACATTGCGCTGCGCTGTTGGCCAGCAGTGGGGAGGGATGAGGAAAAGAAAAAGCCACACTCCACCCATTTTATATTGGACTATTGGTAGAGAAGTGCTACTCAGTAAGACAGGCTCTTGCCTTGCCTTTTTCTTTTTCCCCACTGAATGTTTTGTTTTGGAAATATAAGTTTGTGCTGCTGGGCTCCTGCCCAATGTATCAAAATGGTTTGTGACTGAACTGTGACACCTTTCAGCAATGTTCTGTTAAACTCTGCCCCCTCACAAGAAGGTTCTGTTAAGCTCTGCCCCTTCCCAGGAATGTTCTGTAGCTCCACCACTCTGCTTCAGGAATGTTCTGTAACTCCACCCCCCCTTCAGTGAGCATGCTCACATAGCATGTGTTTCAGGAATGTTCTGCAACTCTGCCCCCCTGCTTCAGGAATGTTCTGTAATTGTCCCCTCCACTTCAGTGAGCATGCTCACACAGCATGTGTTTCAAGTATGTTCTGTAACTCCGCCCCCTGCTTAATTGAGCATGCTCACCTATCCTGTAAATCCCTATATAAGGAGGCTCCCATTTCTGGTAAAAGCAGACTCCTCTGAGCCCATGTAATAAGGGTTTTTTTCTCCACCTCTTCAGCTGACCATCAGATTCTTGAGTCTTCACATTATGAGAGCTGTGTTCCAGAGCCGCCACACTGAGTTGTAACACTCAGCCATGCCTCTGAGCTGTAACACTGGCACTGAGCTGCTCTGTTCTGCCACAACACTATTTCTCTTTCTTATTGTGGAGTCTTCTGAAGAGGATAGAAGGGATGGAAAGAAGAATCTGGAAGACAACCCTCCTATGTGAACATTCCAAAAGGATGCACTTTGAAGACTCTAGAAAACCAATGTTCTCAAAACAATAGTAAGCCCCTGCTTACTAAGAAGCAGAACCAGATACACAGACTTCCGGGGCAGTGTTCTGGGAGAAAGCAGCCCAGCTGCCACCCAAGCCTCTGAACAGGTTTCCGTGAGCCAGAATCTTTGAGGAATCACTTTTTACAACTCAGTTCTGCTTCTGGGAAACACCTCCACCTGCCCTCCATGGGCCTTCCCACACCAGCAGTCGGTTCTACCACATTGTTTTTCCTTCTACTTTTGTGAGATGGGGTCTTGCTGAGTTGCTCAGGCTGGTCTCGAACTTCTGGGCTCAAGTAATCCTCCTGCCTCTCTCTCCCTGAAGCAGGAAACTGTGAGGACCCTGGACAGAGCACTCTAACATGGAGATACGTGCAATGCAGCTTTATTAGCTGTTGGCTCAAGAAGGGACTTCTGTCGTCTCGAGACCCCCGAATAGAAATTTGTGCTTCTTTATATACCTCTTTTTACATTTACGAGGCTAATTCCACTGGAGTTCCCCTGGGAATATAGCAAGCAGGATTTACACGAAGCAGGGGGGGCAGGTGGCAGGACTGAGTCCATTATGCTCTTTTGGTGAGATTGCAGAAGTTGTCATGGTTACTCAGGTGCATTCTACAAAGAGCATAATTACCCAGTTAACTCACAGTTGCCCAATTCCATGTGGAGGGGTGGTTTCCCTTCTCATCCCAAGTGCTCCTGTTACTTTTTCTTTGAAGTGCTGGTGATTGAACCCAGGGCCTTTGCAATGAGCTACATCCCCCCACCCTCATTTCTTTTTTTAAGACAGGGCATTGCTGAGTTACTAAACTGCCCAGGCTGGGCTTGAGTTTGCAACCCTCCTGCCTCAGCCTCCCAGAATGCTGGAGTTACAGGTGTGCACTGCAATGCCCATCTGTGAGCTAGAAGTTTTAAAACTCATGTGTCCTCATTCAATCCTCATAACACATTCTGAAGTTCCCATCTCTGTACTCATATGAGAGAAAATAAGCCTAGAAGAGAGTGGCACACAGTCCTGTAACACTCCCAACACTGTGCTACTACAACACCATGTGACCTTACCCGGGGTGCCAGGTGGACAGGGTTGGGAATGCGACCTAGTGTGGCTATTCTGCCACCTACTAGTTGGGACCCCTGGGACAGCTTATTGCTGTGAGTCTCAGGGTACAGTGACTTTAGAGGTCACCCTCTGCACTGGGATGGAAGGGGAAGAGGTCTCCAGTCAGATCTGGACTCTACTCCCAGCTCTGCCAACTGCCACTTGTCATAATTCTGGGCAAGTTCACTTCACTTCTTTGAATCTCAGTTTTCTTACCTAAAATGAAGTAACACCTATGCCTTACCAAGATTATGAGGATTAAGTGAGATAATTTGAATAAGGCCCTTAGCACACTCTCAGACTTAGGCAATGCATGGTCCTGGTAACTTCTGGAAAGTTACTGTTTGTTAGTATCTGGGCCCTCGACATTGTGGTGTACCAAAATCTCGTATTTATCCATGAAAACCTATGTGGGCTCAATGTAACATATCCAAGATGAGATCACGAGAAAGACTCTACATTACGGATGACCCCTAAGATGGTGATTTGGTTACTGCTTCTGAGTCTTTTTTTTTTTTGGTACTGGGGATTGAACTTGGGTCCTTTCGCTTGTGAGACGGGTGGCGGAACCACTGAGCTAAATCTCCAACCCAGGTTACTGCTTCTGGAAGGGCAGAGTAAAAGCATCAAGGGAGGGAGGGTACTTGAAATGGAAGCAATGAGCTACATGTGGCCACAGAGGACCGAAGGGGCTGAGAAGATAACTAACTCTCAATGTGCAGCTCCCTTTTCCTGACCTTGCAGCCTCCCACATATGCATCACTCAGCAAACAATGACTGAGCACTCTGGGATCCAGGCATGGTTCTGAGGGCTGAGATACAGCAGTGAAAAGAAGGGTGGGCTAGTACACTGTATAGAGCAGAAAAACAGATGGTGATAACTGCAGTAGTATGAGAGAAACAAAGCAAGATAAAAGTATGGGGAGCACTAGAATACAGGGGCTAAATATATCAAGCAGTCAGGAAAAGTCCTTTGAGGACAAGGTGACAGCTGAGCAAAAATCAAAGGAAGCAAGTGATGGAGTCCTTGGCTTGCCCAGGGGAGGGCCCGGGAGAAGGAGCAGGAAGTGCAAAGCCTGTCAGGAACATGTGTGGCAGGTGGACATGGCAGCACAGAGGCTGCAGGCTGACAGGACGTGGGGCTGCTGAGGGGAGAAGAGTGGGAGGAGCAGGGGACACTATTCTTAGCCTGGAAGGGTCAGCTCTACATATATACATACATACATACATATGTTTTCACTTCCTCCACAGGCTGCCCCTGAATCTCCCAGCAAGGGCCAGATGTGATACTGGTAAGCTGGGCAGGCAGGTTTTTCCTGCCTCTGGGTGCTATGGAAACCTTCCAGCAAGCAGCCAGGGGAGTTGGCAGAAACAGTGCAAGCAGTTTGCCACATCACCATAGCTGCCCTCCTGACATTACAGGGGTACTGAGAGGCAGAAACTTTGGAAAACTAAGACTAATTTGGACACTTTTGAGATGTTCAGAAATAATTTTTAAAAATTAAATGAACATGCTTAAAGGCGCCAGTCCTCTAATGCTGTCTCCAGTATATTCCTTCCTATTTGCCAATCCTGCAATTTCCTGTAAGACAAAGTTTGTTCACAATGCAAAGGTTAGATGTCACTGTAAGTCATGCTGTAGGCAGGGGGAAAAGTTCTGTCCATTTCCTGTGGCCTCTTGTGGTCAGAGGGATCGAACCCTTCACTCCCTTTTTTCCCCTGAGATAGTCTCACTATGTGTCCCAGGCTGGCCTTGAACTTGCAGTCCTACCTCAGCCTCCCAAGTGCTGGGATCCCAAGCAAACACCATCACACCCGGCTCCTTCCTATGCTCCTGACCTACAATCCTGTCTCTTGTGCTGACAACCAAGCAGGGTTGTTACTGCTACACAAGTGGTTTTCACAGGCACCTGGCAGGAAACACAAAAGCTGTCTGTAACCAGCACAAGCACAGACACTATCCTGGCAGCTGCTAAGATCCTGAGATCCTGAAGATGACTTCTCTGTGAGTAGATGGGGACACTGAATGCTAAGAGGAGAGAGGAGCACACAGCTGGGAGCTGGGAGCTGAGAAAGGCTGATGTCAGAGATTAATGTGGCTGCTATAAATGCTGAAAATTAAGTCAGACAATAAATGCTCAATTGAATCTGAGCTTTTTTTTTTTTAAGAAAATGGAAAAAGTATGAAAGCACTTTTTTTCAGGGTAAAGGTAAAAATACTGGTTTCTCTTCCTAGTTTTTCTCCTTGGCTTCTAGTCCTTATCACATCTGCAAACCTCTGTGCCTTGTTCTCACTCTGAGGTCTTCCTGGGCAGTCACACCCCCTGTGAGTTTCCCCAACACCTTCCCCAGGGACTCTGTCCTCCCAGCTGCTGCTTACTGCCAAGATAGGCAAATGAACCCCACTATCTGCTGCATACCTCTCACCATCTTGCTGGCACCCCCAGAGGAAGAGCCATTCTCTGACAACATGAGGTCTGACACGGTTAGCCCCTGTCCACACTCCACACGCCTCCCACCACCCTGCACTTCCATCTGCTGCCCAGTGTACTGCACTCTCTGCTTCTATTCTTTTGGTCCCATTTGCCAGACTCCTAGTCATACTAACACTCTATTCAAATAACAGCTTATCATAGATGACAGAGGTGGCCAGCCTCTGAGATAGCCCCAAGTGATTCTACCTTCTGATACTGATACCCATATCCTTGCATAAGCCCATTCATTCCACACCAAACCGCAGCTAATGGCTGTAGCCAAAACACTGTGGCAGCACTAACTGTATGTGACTTCCATGGACAGACCATACGAGGCACTGCAGCTTTCCCATGGGCTCTTCCATCACTTGCTCTGGAAGAATCCAGCCACCAGGTCATGAGGACACCCAAGGAGCCCCATTAACTTGCCTGCCACAGCAGTAAGCGACCTTGGAAGTGATCCTGTAGATGACTCCAGCCCCGGCCACCATCTGACTGCAAGAGCACAAGAGCACCACCACTCTCTCCAAAGCAGGATCTTCTAAAGCCCTGACTCGACCCACAGAGACCACGAGAGAATAAATGGCTATTGTAGGGTTTCGTTCCGTTTTCAGTACTAGGGGGTGAGCTCAGGGCCTTTGCACTGAATTACATCCCCAGCTCTTCAAAAAATTTTGAGACAGGGTCTTGCTAAGTCCTTAAATTGGCCAGGCTGAGCTAGAAACTGCAATCCTCCTGCTTTAGCCTCCCGGAGTGTACCACCATGCCCCACTGGTTGTTATTTTAAGCCAAGTTTTGAGGTGATTTGTTACACACCAACAGATAATCAGTGAACCTTCATAACATTTCTCTGCCTTTACTGAGGTAACCATCTATGTCCCTATAAAGCCTTGTAAATAATTTCATCATAGCACTTAACACATAGCTTTTTTTTTCTCAGTTGATCTCACTAGACTGTATTCTTGTTTATTTCTGCATCCCCGGCACCTGGCACAATGCCTAGCACTCGGAAATCTTTCAATAAACGTTTGTTAAATTGCACAAATGAGTGACCAGCAGTTGAGGAAAAAAGCAAATGAAAGTCATGACTTCATGCCACAGTAGTAAATAACTAATGCTATTATTTATTTCATACCCCTTCCTCTTCTGGGATTCTGGAAAACAGCAACCTATCACAATCATCACATACAGGGGGGCCCTGGCTTACAAAATCAATTCAAACATGAGGGTTGGTTGTAACTCAAGTTGGTCAACTGAAGGCTCAGGCTCCTCTACACAGCCTTCAAAGTCTCTTTCCTGTAAAGAGGCAGATCTCAGTGTCCTTAGAGAGACACTGGCCCAGGATTTCTCAACCCTGGGAAGGATGCTGTAATAATGGTCTTTCCAGAACTCTTTAACAGTTAAGTCTGTATCTGAGACCATTTGGAAGAACAAGCGTCTGGCATTCAGGTTGTAACTCAAGACTTTGTTCATAAGTTAAAACTAAAATTCCAGTCATAACCTGTTATTGGTATGTCAGGCTGGTTGTAACTCGAGAGTTCACTGTACTTTTTAAAACTGCTGCTTCTTTTTTTGTTTTTTTTTGGTACCGGGGATCGTGAACCTCTTTTTTTTTTTTAAACTGCTTCTTTTACCTGCCCTTTCTAAGCACAGTTCTGAGGAAGTGGTTCATATTTACAGTATTTGTATGACTTTACCTCCCTGAGCCTAGCTGACTGGCTCTGCATGAGTACAGGCTTATGTCGGGCCAGACATAACTCTCAAGGCCACTGCCATGTGTGACAAAAGCAGGGTGAGCAACTGATCCAAATGGCCTTGGGAGGTTTTGAATTTGAGATCCAGACAGAGAGGTGGTCCATCCTCACTGGTGGTTGAAACATGTAAACACCTGTGAATGTATGTTGGTCCAACTGTGTATCTACATGCACAGAGTACATAAAAATATGTATACATCAGGAAAAGAAAAACTTGTATAAATATTTAAATACTGAATTTATTGAGACATCCTGAGGTTAATAAAAGTTATCTTTGGCCTCTATAATTATGAGATGCTCAAAGTGGTGGCCATGAGCTTTCAGACATTTATTAGTATGGCGAACTGCCGGTGTACACATTTTTTTGGCAGACTTTTTTTTTTTTTTTTTGATACTGGGGATTAAAGTCAGGACCTTGCACTTGCCAGGAAGGCACCGGCACCACTGAGCTACATCCCCAACCCTGGCGGACTCTTTTTTTTGTTTGTTTTTTGAGACAGGGTCTCGCTATGTAGTTCAGGCTGGTCTTGAAATCACCATGTAATCCAGACTGGCCTCAAATTTGTGGTGATCCTCCTGCCTCAGCCTCCCTAGAGCTGGGATTACAGGTGTGCATCACTATGCCTGGCTGGACACTTTTAAAATAAAATATGTGATGCTAGTAAAATTAATTTTTTGTAGTAAAGAACTAGTTCATTCATGAATTGCTATGATTTGTATAATCCCCTGAGGGGTGGAAGAGCTATAAATATTTTCACATCTTTTGATCCAGTAATTGTTTGCTTGAAAACTCATGTTAGGGAAATAATTTAACCAAAGGTATATGCATGAAAAAGTTTACTTCAGTATTATATATCTAAAAAATGTGAAAACAATTTATCAAACATTAGGGGGATTAATAAAATTTTGTTGCACTGACAATAAGATATGATTCAGTCATTTGATGGGCTCCTGTGTCTGGGAGAGATAAAGAGTTACAAAGACCAGATTTATATTCCCAACTTACAACTAAAAAACTGGAAAAATATTAGAAACAAATGGTTTTTGGCACTGGACAGCAGGCACCACTGGACAGCAACAGGCAAGGTGACCTGTGAGTACCTGGTCACTGCCTGAGGAGTCTTCTGGCTGCAGTACAGGGCTGAGGAGACAGAGATGAGAGTCTGAGTTGTTCACGGCAGCTTGAGTTATAGAGCAGAGAACAGGAAAGACCTGCACAGACAGAGCTCCAGAGATGTGCAGAGGGGAAGAACTCCAACCACTGCATCTGAAAATAGGTCAACATGAATATGTGAGGAAATGATTCAAGGTGAGGACAAGCAGCACCAGAAAGGAGTATGAGGAATAATACCTGAAGCTTACCCTACTTGATATCCTTTTTTTTTTTTTTTTTGGTACCAGGGATCAAACTCGGGACCTTGTGCTTTCAAGGCAGGCAGCGGAACCACTGAGCTAAATCCCTGGCCCTGATATCCTTTTTACATACTGTGGAATTCAATTTGGTAAAATTTCTGTTAATTTTTGCAAATACGTTCACGAAGGACATTTGATCTGTAGTTTTCATGTAATGTCACTCTGTGGTTTTGGTATCAGAATAACGTTTACCATATAGAATGAGTTTGGAAGTATTCCCTCCTCTTCAATTTTCTGAAAGAACTTCTATAGAATTGGTATTAGTTATAACTTAGCAAGACTCTATCTCAAAATAAAAAAATAGCAAGGGCTAGGAATGTAGCTTAGGGCACCCTGGGCTCAATCCTCAGTACCATCCTCCCACTCCACCCATAAAAAATAAAAATAAAAAAGAAACCAAGAGATCTGCTGTAGCCATGATAAACTGGGATGCCTATTAGACCCCTAAGTAGGGGTGTCAAGTAGGCAACTGTATATGTGAAAATGGAGTTCACAGAAGTCAGAATTGAAGATGTAAATGTGGGAGTCTGCAGCATATAGCAGCCTAGATATCACCGAGAATGCAGAATAGGGGGACAGGATATTTCAACTCTGAAAGCATTAGACAGAAAAAAGGCAAAAAACAAAACAAGTCATAGCCATTTAATAGTGTGTGGTGCTATGGAAACTAAAAGAACTGTCTCCAGGAGTACTGTGGCTTGAATCTGAACCCTCTGAAATTCTAGGGTTGCCAATTTGATTGCATAAAGAGGTTCTTAGGCCACAGGCATTCCTCCCTTGTAGTAGGACTCGATGAACTTACACAGGGGCTGGAGGAGAAGGCTGGTTTTCTCATTTTTCCACCTTTTGCTACGAGGAGGCAGCAAGAAGGTCCTCACCAGACCAAATACTAGTGCCTTAATGCTGGACTTCCCAGCCTCCAGAACTGTGAGCAATAAATCCCGGTTCTTTATAAATTCCCCAGTCTGCAGTATTGGTGCAGTAGCAGACACATCAGTGTCATGTGCTGGTTGCAGGTCAAACAGTATGAAGACAGAGAACTGGCCCTTGGTTTGGCAAGCTGGAGGTTGCTGGTGATCCAGACAGGGGCTTTTAACTTTAATGATGACAGTGCCTCTCAGAGAGCTGGGATTACAGGCATGGACCACCATGCCTGGCTCAAAATCTGAAATTTTTTGATCATGGGCACTCAAAAAATGTCTGGGATTCCAGAGCGCTTGGAACTTCAGATTAGGAATGCTCAATCAGTAACTATATCACATAAAAACTTGTACACAAATATTTATAGAAGCATTATTTGTAATAGTCAAAAGGTAGAAACAGCCAGGTGTGGGTGGCACACACCTTTAATCTTGAGTTTAAGGCCAGCCTGCCCTACACAACAAGACCCTGTCTCAAAAAAACAAAAACAAAAGGTAGAAACAGCCTAAATGTTCATGAATTGATGAGTAAACTAAATGTGGCACATAACATAATGAAATATATTCAACCATAAAAGGGAATGAAGTCATTATACAAACGCCAACATGGACAAACCTAGAAGCACTGTGCTAAGAGAAGGGCAGTCACAAAAGGCTATATATTGTATGATTCTGTATCACATGAAATGTCCTGAATACATAAATCCACAGAGACAGAAAGTAGACTATGGCTGTGAGGAGCTGGAGGGAGGGGGTAGGAAACTGCTGATGGGTAACAGGGTTCCTTCTTGGCTGAGGTAAATGTTCTGGAATTAGATGGTGGATTTGAGTGGACAGCAAAGCGAATACACTAAGAACTGCTGAGGGCTGAGGGCTGAGCATGCAGCAAGGGGTAGGATGCTTGCCCAGCACATGTGAGGTCCTCCCAGGTTAGATCCCTGGTGCCACAATAAAAACAAACCAAAACACATACACATACAAATGCTCAATTATACACTTTAAAACAAGGGTGCCTTTTATAGTATGTGCATTATTGTTTTTTTTGGTACCAGGGATCAAACTTGGGACCTTGCACTTGCGAGGCAGGTGGTGGAACTACTGAGCTAAATTCCCGGCCCATTCATTATGTTTTTATTAAAATAGTTTAACCACAACAGAAGAAGAATGTGTCCTCTGGGAGTTTTTCTGAGGCCCACCTGAAGCCATGAGGACTGTGAGCTTCTCTAAATCTCACCTTCTTGGTAACAAGAAGCTGCTACTCATCACCTCGAACAGCTCTCCGTGGGGATTTAATGTTTACACAAAACCAGGGAAAGCAAAAATGGAGGGGGATAGTGCAAATAGTTTATCTATAATTGTGAAAGGGATCTCTCCCTCTCAATTTATAACTAACACTTTATTAACACAGCCCAGCATGAATTTCACATCTTAGCAAACTGTGAAGTCACAAATTCCTTAAACTGATAAAAGTTAAAGTCTATCATTTTTCAAGTTACTTACAAATTTCCTAGCTCACGTAGGGATCTAAGTGATCACTGAAAAAAGAACTGACATAACTTTGAAACTCTGGTTTCCAAGCTACAGGCTTTATTTTTGTTTTTTAAAGACTGGACAAAATCCCCAGGTGTTCAACATCACACAGAGCTTCAATTGCATCCTATTGTATTGAAGTGAAATGTTTTCTCAAAGCAAAACCCACTAAAAGCAGTCTCAGTCTAAAGGAAAAGAGATGCAGACTCACAAGGAGATCAGAAAAGTACAGCGATTAGTAAAATGGATTCTAAGGAGGAAAAATACTATCTCCAAATCTACATTTCTTTCTTATGTGGTACTGAATTCCAGGGCCTTGGCACAGATTGACATCCAGCCTTTTCTAAAATGTTTGATTTTCAGACAGGGTCTTGCTAAATCAAATTGCCCAGGATGGGCTTGAACTAGTGACCCTCTTGCCTGGGATTACATCTGTGCACCACCATACCCAGCTTCAAATCTACTTTACAGCAATGGTGCATGTCTCCTGAGTTCTGCACAGATATCCACAGGACCATCTTCTCCACTGGGAACACAACAAGATGCAAACACAAACAATAAATTGTATTAGGATGAATTTTAGCTACAGGACCAAGAAAATCTCTGGTTTACAGTTATAGAGGTTATCATGGGAAAGGAAGTTCTGGACTCTCCTGAGTTCTGCAATTATACTAACACAAAATTAATGGAAATTAAAAGAAAAATTCTGCCATGACTTTGCCACCTCAACAAATCATTCCCCGCCAAAATGTCTGTGTGTGCTGGGATCAGACCCAGGCTTCACACGTGCCAAGCAAGCACTCTGCCCCGAGTTTTACTTCTCCCCCTCTCTTGTTGCTCTCTTTTGGCTTTTTCCTTCATCAATACATAGTTCTCATAACATTTTTAAGTGTTTCTCCATTGAACATTTTATATCAGTATTGTCCCCCAGTAACTATGCTGTCTTGTTCAATAACTTACTAATCTATTTTTCTGTTGATAGACATTTCAGTATCAGTAATTTCTGCCAAATCTTCAGGTGTCCTAATCGGAAACCAGGTGAGGTACTCTTCCTTTGAACAATAAAATTAAACTGGATGCAGTGGCACACACCTGCAATCCCAGGACTCTGGGAGGCTGAGGCAGGAGGATGGCAAGTTTGAGTTAAGCCTAAGAAACTTAGTAAGACACTGTCTCAAAATAGAAAAAGGTCTGAGCACAGCTAATGTAAGCTACAAACACAGCTTGAGATTTTAATCTGAAAATGACTCCTTCCTCAGGGCAAGCTACAGTTGGAGAAGAATTTCACTGTAGCATCTGCCATACTTGGGATATAATCAGAAGCCATTTGGGGAAGATGTTCACTGTTTAAGATTGAGTTACCCTGGGAATTAGAGGTCACAGAACTTCAGGGTCTCTGGGGTAACCCTACCACAGGGAGACAGTCATAAGAGATAGTCATGGAGGAGAGGTGGGCTAGTTGCAGACCCCCTGAGAAATTTAAGCAGTGATGAGCTCAGGTTGTTTTTTGTTTTGGGTTTTTTTTTTGAGGCAGGGTCTCCTTTTGTAGTTCAGGCTGGCCCTGAACTCACTATGTATCCCAGGCTGGCCTTGATCGCCAGGTGATCCTCCTGCCTCAGCCTCCTGAGTGCTGGGATTATAGGTTTGTGCCACTATGCCCAGCTGAGCTCAGGTTAGGACATGGCAACCCTGCCTTTTGTGCTACGAAGCCAAGCCGGTCATGTGGTTTTCCAAGGGAGGTGGGTCTGAAAGTGCTGACAATAAGTCTAGTAGACTGCTTGGTCCCCCCCTTGCTACCTCCTTCCAGCACAGAGCTCGGGTCTATTTGCTCTTCTCATCTGCCAGTGTGATCAGAGATATGCCTTGGCTTGGACAGATGCCACATCCTGGGGTGTATGGACAAAGGGGCCTCTGGAGCAAGGGAGGCACCTCAGGAGCCACAGGCCATAAAGTACAGAAGAGCACAAATACTAACAGCACTGAAGTCCAGGCCTGGTGGTGGATGCCTATAATCTCAGCACTCAGGAGGTTGAGGCAGGAGGATGTCTTGAGTTTGAGGCCAGCCAGGGCTATATAGTGAGTAGAAGGCCAGTCTGAACTACATAGTGAGACCCTATTTCAAAAAACTAGGGCTGGGGATGTAGCTCAGTGGTGCCATGCCTACCTGGCAAGTACAAGGTCCTGAGTTCGATCCCTGGTACCACCAAAAAACAAAACAAAACAGAACAAAACAAAAAACCAACAACTAAAAGCAGACCCGGGTATGTAGCTCAGTGGCTCTGCACTTGCCTGGCAAACATGAAGTCCTCAGCTTGATCCTGGTACAGGCAGAGAGGGATGACACTAAAAGCAAAAAAACTAAGAGTGCTAGAGTGCAAACAGCCCTAAAACAGACACCACACCA